TTAGTACACGGCTGATTCACAATATAAATAAGGTGATACACCACAAATATAAGCAATGAAATTAAATAACACAATACATTTGTTTTGTTATTTAAGTACATGTATATATTTTGTGTATCCAATGAACAAAAATGGACTATATGTTGGGTGACAATAAAGTCCAAAAAGTAAAAACAATACAGACCACATTCTCCTATAAAAATGATGTTAAGACAGGGAATAACAAAGGTTGAAAAAAATCAACAACCACTTGGAAAATTTTAAATGGTCTTAAACAATCCTGGTTCAAAGATAAAAATCAAAATCATAATTTTACAAAATCTGTAAAAGAATGATGTGAACACTAGACAGTAACAAGTAGAAAAATTCTAAGCTTTAAACGCTTTTAATTTAAATCAAGAAAATGTTAAATAATCTAACAATTAATTCAAGAAACTTTCAAAAGTACAACCAAGTAAAAGAGAAATTGCAAAAAAGGAAGTAATAAGACAAAAAATTAATCAATAATAAGGGTATGAAGAAAATACAATGGGAAAAGAAAGTCTTTTCAATAAACAGTGCTTCGACAACTAGATAGCTACTTGCAAAAGGATGAAAGCAGAACGCTACCTCACACCATACACAAAAATCAACTCAAACTGGATTAAATGTAAAACCCAAAACTACACAACTCTTAGAAATAGACATGGAAGTAAATCTTTGTAGCCTTGGATTTAGCAACTGTTTCATATATGTGACAAAACAACACACAGAAAGCAACAACAACAACAACAAAAAAAAACAGATAAACTAGACTTCATTACAAGTAAAAGCTTTTTTGTTACATACAGTACAATTTTGCATACCAAACTCATCATAAAACCTTATTAGTTCTACTTTCTTTTCCCCTTGGAGACATTCATCCTAGGGCACTCCATCCTCCCACAGGTAAGAAGGTCAGTTTTCTAGAAATGTCTGTTAATAAAATTGAAGCTAAAAGTGATTCTAAAAAAAGTAAACCTAAAGTAAACCTAAAACCTAAACTAAATAATAAACTGAGGCATTTGTTATTTATAATTCGTAAACAGGCAGTTTAGAAAAGAAAATGAAGACTTCATGACAGAAATTAATTCAATACAATGCAAATAAATACAAGACTTTTTTCCTGGCCCATCAGATTACCAAAAATCTAATGATAGTGAAGTGTGCCAAAACAGTTACTAACATAAAGCAGAGGTACAAAAGTTGAACAATACAACCTTTCTGAAAGGCAGGTGACAATGTGTATCAAAATTTTAAATAAGCCTATCAATGGGCTAATGATTCAACTTTGAGGAACTCATCTGAAGGGGCAATCACGTAAGTATATAAAGATGGATCCCCTACAATATTCACTAAAGCGTTAATTATAAAAAAAAAAAAGATTATTGGACTCACTGACTGAGCTAGCCGGGCAAAAACTATTGCACTCAAAAATTACTGGACTCAAACTAAACATATATCAACAGAGAGGGTCAGCTATAAATGGTGGTGTGATGAAGTATGTAACAACTAGTTCTGCAGGGGCTGGGGTCGGGAGAGAAGCTCTGATTTGTAACATTTGCCAATTTCTGTGGTGTAAATACTCCCATCATGGCTCATCTCAAGCAACAAAATGAAGTCACTGAATGCACAGTTGAGAAGAAATGTATACGGCTGGCTTTTCCAAGCAGGTACAAGCCAGCTGCAGCACACAACTGTATGATTTCTGGTACACTGAAACAACAAAATACACTGGAACATTAAAAAGCCATAAATATGATGCAAAGGATTTACATTACATGGCAAGATATGCATTACATATGACTGGATGAAAAAAGCCAATTACATACAGAACAGTTTATGCTGTGTAATCTGGGAGAGTGTTAATTTACATGTGTATATACTTCATTTGCATTTTGGGAAAAAAAAGAATCATACAATGGTGATGTGTAAACATTACATTCAGTCTAGTTTTGCCCATAACAAGAACAGTAAATCTGGCTTTCATAGAGTATCTAAACCAGATTAAGATTTTTATTTTAAGAAAGAATAGCAAAAGATCAACAGATTTGGCTTCAAAGTAATTAAAAACTTCCATATTAAATAGTACAAAACAAAGAAGAAGAGAAACAACAGACTGGGGTTAAGTTATCTGCAGTAAATATGAAAAAGGCTAATTTCATTTTTATGTTCAGAGCTCATAAATAGGCAAAGGAAATGAAGAGACAACTTACAAAATAAGAAATTCAACCAGAAACAAACATATGGAAAAATGGTTCATTCTTACCGGTGACTAAAAAAAGTGCAAATTTTAAAATTATGTACCTTTTTTTGCCTACTAATTTATTGATAATCTCGTAATACTGCTCGTGATGTTGCAAACTGCATACAAAGATTTCAGAATATGTTTAAGGTGTGTGTAATCAAGAGCTATAAAATTTTTAATATTCTCTTAGAGGTAACATTTCTATCCATCTAAGCTAACAAAAATGTGTGAGTGAATGTGTGTGCATGTGTCTGTGTTTGTGTATGTGGGTCTGTGTGTTTTTAAAGAAATGCTATCTCCACCAAGATCTTCATCACAGTATTATTTTGAAAATGAAACCTATGGGAGAAAACTAAATGTAAAAAAAAAAATGAGTAATCAAGCAAATTAATATATATCCTCTAATAGAATATTATATAGTAATCCCAAATATTAATATGAAGTTTATATAGCCACAGAGAAAATCCTTACAACATAATGTTCAATTGTACAGTACGAGTATACCCATGTGAGAAGCACAAAAATAAAACAGACTAGAAAGGAACATCCAAACAAAAATCATGCTTCTTCCATTATTTTTGATAAACTTATGAATAAATGTTAAAATCTTTTTCAAATTTTGTCTAAAAAAATGTTGCATTATTTATAAAATTTCAAAAATCACTGAAAAACAAAACAAAAATACTATTATTAACATAGAATGGGCTCTCATTATTTCAAAGGCCATCATGAAAATAATATAATGCATTTCTTAACAATGTAAGAAATTCTTAAGTGGAAGAAAATAAATACTTCTTAACTCAAACTTTGACTGTCTATTCAATCCAACAGTTCTTCCCATTAATAAACTTTTAAAAATATTTCAGAAAGTAACCATACCACCAGAAGATATATATCTCAAGTGCTCTTCTTTATTTGATTCCAAAAAGAGAAAAAAATTTATATATATATAAAAATTCAGGCAATAGCATACTGCTTGAAGATATATAATATAGAGGAAAAATATTTTTAATAGAAAAAGTAAATCATGGTGTGACCCTGTGGTTCAGTACTAGGGATGCATAACACGTTTATTAATTCTGGGAAGGATACATTGTCATTTGAGTAGCAATTCACAGAAAGGCCCTAGGGATTTAGAAAAACCCAGACAAGAATCCTTGTTCCCATGATAAGCATGGCCTGGAGTGGAAAGCCCTAAAGAAAATGTGTTTCTCAAAGGGCATATCTGGTGACTTCTGTGAAAATGTATTTGGAGTCAAGATTTCCCTAAAGAAATATTAATGAAGTCTTATGATTTTCTCTATTAAAATGCAATACTTTGCCAAGGATTGTATGGATAGAAAGAATATGAAAATGAATGTAAGTGCGTATATGCATAACTGGGACTTTGTGCTGTATGCCTGAAACTGACACATTGTAACTGACTATACTTCAATTTTTTTTAATGGGAAAAAAAAGAATTGTATAGATAGGGAAATACAAATTATTTATCAGAAACTGATCAAATAACATACAAGCATCTTCTCCTACCAGAAGATGAAAAACTTATGGGACTCCTCATTACAAGAATTGATATATGCCCCTAGTTTTTTAATCATTTCTAATGTGCTCTGGATCACATCTTAAATGGTGACCCAACACATAACAGGACATACTAGGATGTTCACAGGACACCCCATTCACTAGTCCTTGAATACATCAAGGCCCTTCCATCTCCAGAATCCATGTCTGTTCCAAGCCTGGCTCCCAGAAGGACCAGGATTATGACCATTCATTAGTTCTTTACTCACCAGGAAGTGACTGATAAAAAAAAAACAGAAGCTGATTTCAGCACTCATTAGCTCTGCTCTCAAATTATTCAAAACTACTGAAATTACTCAAAAACCACTTGCCTATATTTTGAATCAAGAAATCCTCTTAAAATATGAAAATGAATATATGTATGCATATACATGGCTGGGACATTGTGCTGTACATCAGAAACTGACACATTGTAACTGACTGTACTTCAAATTTAAAAAAAAAAGAACTCCTCTAAGTTAATTCTGTCAGGGACAAATGAAGCTCATTTTGAATGCTAGTGGTAAACATGCTTTAGGGACCTTGAATGACCCACTCACTGTACTTGGATGTGATAGCCCAGCACGTGAACAGCTCATAAGAGAACACAACCAATACACAGGCACCTTTCTCAGCTAAAAATTACAAATTATTTCTATATTACATGTCTTCACCCGAGCATAAATCCACTTGAAAAGAAAATCTCATGATACAATATATCTACTTACTGCCTTGGGCAACTGACAGGCACTCCATTGTAGGAGGAACAAGCCACAGACAGCAGATTTCGTGGACAAGAGACATCCTAATAACCTATCACCAGATTAGCAGAGTTCCCAATACAGTAACAGATGCATTTCTATCACCCTGAACAGCTAACTGGGAGAAGGAAAAAAAACAAAAAACCAGGAGAAGCCTGGTTGTAAATTTTCTTTTTTTAATGAATAGTTTTTCTCAGGACACAACTCAATCTGAACTCTGGGCTTCAGCCTTAGTATCCAACCACCTCTGGGAGCAAGAGGACCCAGAGAGTGCATGCAATGAAAACAGCTCCCGTACAACCCAGACTTCTACACATGCTCGTCTCCCAATCCACGATCTGGGAGAGGAAGGGCACAGGAGACGTGCCAATGACGAAGAAACTCGGCAGGGCAGTGGAGCTGACAAAAGGAAGCTGCACTGGCCGGGAGCGTCCTGATCCAAGTCATCAAGTCAACATACAGCACGGGGTGCCCCGCCTTTGCTCCCCTTTTCTCCCCTCCAGAGCCCAGGGAACACATGGCCATACCACCCCATGAGCAACAATGCTCTCTGCCCTGCTGAGCCCTGCAAGATCGACCATCACTTTTCCTCGCCTGCAACTGTTCTCCTTTTCCCTTGCACCTGTCCAACTCCGAATCTGAAATCAAGGTAAGTGAGCCTGAAGCTGATAAGATGAGAAAGCCGTGGGCCAAGAGGAAAGTAGGGGTCAAAGAATGCCCAGTGCCTGTCTGGCACCTCCAGTGGAATTGGGCCCTCGTAACAATGTTTCTCCAGAGCTAGGATTAGAGTCCAGCTGCTCCTTCTTTGGTCATACAGTTCCTTCTCCAGAATGTAGGCAAGGGACACACAGGAAGTAGCTTTGCTCAAGTTTCTTTGACCATGGCCATGACAACTAAGGGCAGTTCAGAGGCCACCACAATTGATAGGCTATATAAATATTTCTTAAAACAAAAAAGTATGAAAAGTCCTTACTTCATATTGTGAATGTGTCCACCATTACCTGTTCTTCTGGTTTCAACGAAAGCCCCAAGAAAAAAAATGGGCACAGAAATGTACATAAATGGTCCATCCAAGGGTTAATTCTAAGTCTGTCCTAGAAGGCCCTGGAAAAGGGACTGATGGCTCCAAATACAAAGGAGTCCCCCAGTATGCTCCGCCAAGGTGCCTATGGCACTTCCAGTGCCCAGGCCCCAACGGCCAACCTGCTCTCACCAAAAATGGCAGAAATGGGCTTGGGCAGCAGAGATTCTTTGCAAGCAAATGAAAAGCACTGCTTAAAGCTCAATGAAGGAAGAAAAAAAAGTGGCAGCAGTGACTCAAAGGTGGCTGCCTAAGGGTATCTAAGACAACACACCCAGGCTGAGCAGGGCAGCTCAGGAACACTGTGCCTCTCAGGCTCCACCTCCATGCCTCCTGGGATGCCGCCCTTCCTGCAGGAAGCAAGAGACCCATGCTGATACGACAGGAGGCTTTTGATACCACTCCCTGGGAAGGCAGCGCAACTATCAGCAGAGTGCCAGGCGGCAGGAGGGGCAGCTCTGGACAGACTGGCTCACGCCTCCTCACTCCCAGCCCTCCTCACTGCTCCTGCCCAGAACCACCCGAGCCGCCTGCTGGGGGGAAGAGAGGAGAGTGAGGGCGGCCAGGAGCCCACCAGACCTGGCAATGCCTCCTGAGATAGCCCATCACTTCTGGGGAGGGCCACGATGCAGACTCCCCGTCCAGGGGTAAGTGTGGGGGGAAATCGGCTGATGCCAAAGCTGCAGAAGGGACATAGAGAAAGTTCCAAAGTTCAAACGGCCCTTAGATTTCTTCACTGTACAGGTTTCTATAGCGATAGTAAAGGAACAAATGAAAAAGACACCCTTGGGTCTGTTCAGAGAGAGGCAGGGCAGGAGTACCTGACCACCTTGCAGCGACAGGCTTTAAAAAAGATACTCATAACAAAACAGACATGCAGAGCCATAGGAGGGTTTCATTATTTGGTCGGACGAACTTTAACAAAGCCTGGGTACCACTGTTTTTGCATGACTTACCAATATTCAAGAGTCTATCACCAGCGTTAGAGAGAAAAACAGAATTAAACTCTTAACAAGTACTCTGGCACTCTTTTAAGGGCAAACGAGGAACAAGAATTAAAGTCATCCTGTATTATTAGAACAAGTCACAGGAAGTGGGTCAGCTCTTTAGGACAGGAGGAAAATTGCATCTGCCATCTGCAGAAAGAATCTAAACTATAATGAAGGAGCTCTGAAAAGTGTAAGTTCTAAAACAGCAGTTCACGTGGCAAGAAAATATCATTGCGTCTTTACCTTAAAAAATAAACAAACCAAGAAAACCTACCCAGACTGGGTATAACAAAAGCAGAGATATCTGTTAATGCCGCCCTCCCTAGCTACCTGGACAGAAACACAGGTAGAAACAGTTGTCTTAAGGCTCTCAAGTAACTGAGGTGAGGACGCTCGGATCATTAAATGCGGAAGACGCGCTATTACCCAACACAGATCTACAGCCCCTACTCCCCTTCTAGCAAGAGCACTGCATCCTATTTTGAAACCCAGTGGCCTGTGATAGATTATCCAGCACTGGCTTGCTAGCTTTCTGCTGGTAATCATGAACCAGCCTCAAGCCCCCACCCTCTGGAAAAGGACAGGGAATTTTACACTTTGTTCGATAACAACGTATTTTGTTTTGTAGACCATGGTGTTGCTAACGAAAGTTAATCATCTCATGAAAGTACATTCATAAATGTCTTTCTCTGAATGCATTAAGGCACCCAACTTCCCCTCTCACCAGCTCACAACCACATGATGTTTGAAAGAAGCACCAACTTGGGAGTTCCCTAAATCTTGAAGAAATGCACATACCAGAGAATCTAAGGAACTCCTCGTAGCATGTGGCTAAGAGAGAGTAAATGGGTGGGAAGGATTCCATGGGAAGGGTCTTGCAGGCGGCCTGCGGCAAAGAGCTGGAAGACTGAATCATGGGTGGATGAGACACTGACCCATTTCTCTCTAGAAACCAGTCAGCTGCAGCCACCAGGAAACAGGGAAGATGCCACCAGTCACCCTGCTGCCTCTTCACCAAAAGGAAACGTAAAAAACAAACAATAAGGATAAAAAAGCTGCAAAAAGTGTTTAAAATATAAAAAAGAAAAATTCTATTTCAATTTTTTACTAAGTGATGATGACCAAAAAAAAAAAGGTCAAATTCTGGAAAGAGGCAATTAATTCATGATTTCAGTTCTCCAAAGGGGGAAAAAAATGAGGCTATCTCTCAGAAATATACATGAATATGTTTCTAAACATGACTATTCACTTCCTGCCACAGAGCCAAAAAGTCTCACTCTAGCTCTTTTTCTTTAATTTGTGGATCAATTATTGTTCCCTTCTGTGAGGTTTCAGAAATATAATGGCATTAATAACATTCCGGTTCCCAACCACACCACAATCCATTACACACTTCCTTGAAACAACTATTTTGTTTCCAAAGCAGTCAAACTGCTCGCAATCCAAGAGTAATCTTGTGATAAAGGTGCGTGGAATTTTCAAATTTCAAAGAACTTGTGTGTGGAACAGTTTTCCATTCAAACTGCTGGATAAACTGCTATTGGCTTTTCAACCCGAAACAATTATGAGAATGTTCAACTGAATCATTCTCGTGAGACAATGAATGAGAAGCAGGCTTGGAGACAAAGACTTTTTAAAAGACTTCGCCTTTAAAACAGAGTTTCTTTTTACTGTGCCCCAGGTGGCCCACAAAGCGACACAGAGAAGTGGTAAGTGGAGAGCAAATCGATGATACCCATTAGAAGGAAGCAAGAAGTTCAAATCCACACCCTCCAATTGCTCTACTTTCTTTGGGGGAATCCGGCTGCCCACCCTGCCCCCATCCTCCTACACCCACAGGTCCCCAGGTCCCGACAACGGTATGACTGTAAATTGAGGACAAGGTGCTATGCTGAGCTACAAAGAAACAAGGGCCACTGTCTCTGCCCTCGGGGAGCTTCCAATCTAGTTGGAAATACAGGGCAAGTGGTCATTAACCGTCTCTCCTACTTAAAGGCAAAAAATGATACGTTTGCTCCAAGGAAATAAAATACATAACTTAGGAGTTCAGATTCTCAAGACCATCTACTTTCCCCAGTTGTGTAATCCCCGGAAAGCTCCGAGAATGGCCTTCAGATTATTTTGTCTTTTTCTTTGTATTAAGAGCCAATAGAAAAGCCAAAGCCAGGAAGGATAATACTCAGAAGGACTTGTTGGTCAGAGAGTGTTAACTGTAAAACAACAACTGTGAAAAGGGCATGTAGTCTTTCCTGTTGGCAAATAAGAACTAAGGAGGTTCTTATTTGCACATTATTTTACACATAGTAGGTGCTTAACATGTCTTCATTTGATCAGCATTCTGTATGCAATTGTTCTTTCTTAGAGTAGGTCTGGTAAAACAAGGCTAGAGGAAATGCTTATTTTCTAATAACTGGCAAGTGTTGAATAAATGAATTTGAAATATCTTGATAACTTTATTTTAAAATAATACTAATTTTGTTCTTAAAAATGAAACATGAGGCTTTTAACAATATGTTCTGCACTGATTTCAGAAATTACGTCTAGGTATGAAGGTCAACCCCAGAGCTATTTAGCAAATTCAGTTTTTGGTTCTCAGCATCGTGATATGGGTGTTTATTCTGTTTGTAAAGCCCAGATTCACGACCACCTAGGATCTATGAACTCATTTCCAACAGCATGTTTAAGTCCTTTTTTCCTTTGTACCACACGTTAGATGCAAAATCAGATTTTTACATTATTGGTAATGTAACAAATCACAGGTGAGTGTCAAACAACTTCCTATAATTTTATTAGGAACAGCTGTTCACACAAAATAGCGTTTGGGTCTGAGAATAGCTTTCTTTAACGTTACTCCATTCGGCAGAACAAGAGAAAACATTCACTGTTTACTGTAGTCAGTTATTGCCACAGATTTAATTACCAACAATCACACATTTTACCTTCTATTGCTGTTTCACACTTCCCTAGGATTAATTCTGCAGAGATCTTAACATTGCTTAAAAGCCATTCTAAAAGTTTCCCTTTGAAAAAATGACACTGCCCTCCCTGTTCAACCAGAAAATGAGACTTTAAATTTGTTGCTACAAATACTTGTATTTCTCTCAACCCCAAACAGAGAGTCTGGAGAAAACAGATTCTCTCCACCTTCTCAGGGAGAAAGCAATCCTAACCTTCTTAAAATGGCTTCTCTCCCTTCCAAGATGCACCCTTTGAGCTATTGTTTCCTCTACAACACCCAAGCCACATTTCCCTTGATATCAACAGAACTAATAACCTCCCCTTAAAGAAGACTCTTTTGAATGCTGGAACCAAAAGCATCCTTGGAAAAATCTCGTTCAAGTCAGTGTAAGTTTGCCTA